GGATTCTTGTTCGACCTGTGTGGAGATGCCTACTGTCAGGGGCTTCAAGAAGCAGAGTGACATCAGCACGAGTATCAAGCTGTGCCCATTCCATGACTCCAAGCAGGTCACCAGTGTGGTCTCACCAGCAGTTTCCCCAGTCTTCTAGCTGGTAGTAAATCATAATGTATTCATGTGGCTTCATCTATTTGGCTCACACAGCCAACTTGAACAGTGCAGGTGTCTGAGGAGCAGAATACATAGCAGCCTTTCTGCAAGGTGACTGCTTTTCCGGCACGAAGGACCACGCTTATGCGGGATGATGGCCCGATGCACTCACTACTCATTACTAGTTTGTCATCCAAAGCCATCTCTATCCTCCACAACGTGATAGGAATGTCCTCCAAAAGTGAACCCCTTCCACGACCTAGTCCCAGCCTTCAACTCAATGGGAGCCCAATTTGTTATTGCAACACACTCTGATTCTTGGACCTTTCTCCTGTTTTCTAACCCTTGTATTCTATCACTTGGTCATAGAGGAATAATGCCACCACCATCCAGGCCACCACCATCCTCTTTCATTAGTCATCAAGTCTCATGAACGACCTTTCTAGAGATCTCAGCTTCTCTTTCTCATTTCTCACACGGAGGAGAATTTAGCGCAGGTCTTAAGCTAACCGACACCAGAACAAGGAAGAACCATCCCTGAGAGCTGGGGCCAGCACACAGACATACAAAACAGTGTGAGTACCAGGATGAAGCTGGAGCCAGAGTGGGGACAGAGAGAGAGAGAGAGAGAGAGAGAGAGAGAGAGAGAGAGAGAGAGAGAGAGAATGTACGTGTATGCACACGAATGTGATGGGCTCTCCGATTATTGGATTCAATGATCCTTTGGCTCCAGCATCCCCAATGCTGTGACCACAGGTGCGTGTCACTGTCTGCCTAGAATCCTCAGAGTATCTGTGCTTTAGTTTCTTCATCTATAAAACAAGAGGGTAAAGGTGCTTCCCTCCCCGGTGTGACATTTAAGCAAAATTAATCCAGAAGAAGGTGTGGCAACCAGCATGCTTTGTTTAGGATCACACCGGTATAGACTAAACAACTACTGTAGAAATCCAGATACATTTCTTATCAAAAGCTCAAACTCTGTTACTACTAATATGGTACCTTTAGGGTTCCCAAGGGCGGTGTGATGAGAAAAACGGAGCCTCCAGGGTGCCAGCAGACAAAGAGGCCGTCTACTGTAACAAAATGTGCATGCTCTCTTGTTTTAAAGGTTCAGAGTACAAACTTCTGTATTGCAGCCTTTGGCTCTTGTGTATTTGTTTTTCATCTTGCTTTTCATCCATCTCTCTCCGAAAACTACCCAAGATCTGGGAAACCCACTGCAAGGCACAGGACCAAATATGCAACCTTCAGTGACTGTTAAATTGGTGAATAGCATTGCATTTTTATATAAGTAATTTAATTTATTGTTTTAATAGAGAGACGGCAGTAGTCGGTAGTATATGTATTTCTATAGCATATATATATGTGTGTGTGTGTGTGAGAGAGAGAGAGAGAGAGAGAGAGATACAAAATTCAAACTATACACTTAGTCAGAGAAAAGTAATATACCTTTCATCTAACTCTCCAGACACCCATTCCAAAAGGCACCTGTCCCAAGAGGCACCCACAATGGCCATTGTTTTGAGATGTTATTGGATTACACTGAATTTTTGTCTACTTAAGTTTATTGCCAAAAGAAGTTAGAGAATGGAAGGAAACGACTTATAAAAATGTAGTCAATATATTTTCTTTTCTTTCAAACTCAGGTAAAGGCTGTGCTGATGCCAGCTTACTTTGTGTGTGTGTGCATGTCCACAGCAAGACCAGCAATGAGTTGATCTCATGGTTATTTTATTGTGAAAGCCCATTCCCTTGACATGGTAACATTCGGTGTCTTCCGTAAGACAAAGAACTTTCCCTTTCTTCTAGAAAGATACGAGGTCGCTCTAACATAATTAACCGCAGTTGGGAAGGACAAAGTGCTTTCTAGAAGGGAAACAGCCACCCTTTTTAGTGTGTTCTTTACTGTCAAACAAACATCTGCAGTGGCCCAGGAAAATACATGCTGTCTAAGGCTTTCCACACAAACCCTTTCAAAGGGACTCAGCGCTTGCTGCTGTCTTCTTCCCCACTGCCAATTTCCTCCGGTTTTATGAGGCTCTGTCATGGCACAACAGGTTCACACCTTGCCCCTGCCTAGAAATGGCACCCAACTGCACATGCTCATACTTGCAGGGGACATGATGATAAAGTATCTACAACTCTCTGCTTTATCCCGAAGTCATGGATTCACACGACTCTATCCATAGTACACAATATTTTTGTCTAGTTTTCAATTTCAGATTAAATGCATATTCAACTTATTAGAAAAAAAAGATAAAACAAAATTGATAAACTTTTAAACATCTATTCCTGGAAGCTGACAAGGCCTAAGAATTTGGAAACTAAACCCCATGATTCTCAGTCAGATGTTGGGGAAATGACTTCTTCCTTTTCACTTGCTAGCATCTGTCTTGACTCCTTCCCCCACAAGAACTGATGTCCAGACATATTCCTTCCCCATTGTCTTACTTAAGGTTAATATAGACATGGGCTCCCATGACAAGTGGAGGCCTTGTTTCAACTGGGCCCCTCGAGGAAGACCTACCAAAAAAATAACCAACGGCTTCTTCCTTTTTTCCTAATTCTGTTTGCTTATAAGTTGTCTGTTTGCTATTCAGGACCTTTGGTGTGAACTTGGTGGTCCCTCTGACTATCAATGAGCTCTTTTTGTGTTTCTTTGTTAGTGCCTCCTTACTGCTTCTAACCCCTCAGTTTCCACTAGTAAAGCCAACCATGAGGGCATCCAGCCAACTCATCTACTCCAGCTCCGCCAAGTCGGACTGCAGTTCTCACAAAGCTGAGGAAAGGCCCCACTGGGCTAGGAAGCGAGAGCCCTAGAGAGAATAGACCCTTAATTCCTGGCATTTTCTTGTTAGGAGCGAGGCTATTTCTCTGTGTTTAGCAACTTCCTTCTCTATTATTTCGACTTCCATGCTCACGCTCTACTCCTTTCCATTCCTCTGTTCTTTAATGGAAATGTTTTCGTCACACTGACTGAACTCTGGTTGTTGAGAACGCCATTTTGAATAGCTCATTTTGTCTTTTTTCCAAACACACCGAGCTTCATCCATATTACAGCATGCAACGCAAGTGATTATCTATGAAATGGGTGTGATGGGTGAGTCTTAACTGTAGAATGATCATTTTTCCCTTGAGTTCAACTGAACCAATCGAATGGTAGAGTGCTAATGCTGCATTAGCATTAGCAACAGTATCACCTCATGGGCCTCCACTTCACGTGACATTTCCCTCAGCATTTCTCATACAAGTCCTAGTCAGCAGAGCAAAGGTAAGATGGGTCTTTACTCCTGAGGACGGTGTCTGGCACTAGGCTGACTTCATTTCTCTTCTCTAGTGTCGTGACTTTGGACAACTGCCTGGTCTCTGACAAGTTTGCATCCTTAAACCAGGAATGTCTGTAGTATCATACCTGCCATCACAAGCGAGAGCCGAGAGAGCACATGGAACCGTGCCAGAAGGTAGCCGGACTAGTTCCTGTAAACACTCTGGGTATTAGGCTGTCTCTTGGCTTGACAACAACTGTGATTCAGAGCATAAACTGAGAGAGGCAAGAACATTGCAGTTTGCCTTGACTCCCAGGACCAGGGCACAGTGCGTGTTAAAACTCTTCTTCCTGGACCGGAATCAGAGCCGGGAACCTACTGAGGAAAGCCATTATTTCTCTGGCTCAACCAGCTCATGCCACCTGGAGTATTTCTATAATGAACCGGAAACTCACTAATTAGCAATCACTGAAAAGAGCCAAAGGTGCTAAAATGGGCAAAATCTAAAGTTTATGACAAACTTTTCTCGCCGGCAGTATTTCTCTTTGTCACTCATAAAGTCAACTCTCTTGACAAGGTTATATCCATATGTTATACAAGTTTCTTAACTTTTATGAAGTCATTCATTCTTTAAAATTTAAGGATTTCTTGGCCGATTACCAAGCAGCAATTAAAATTTTACATGAATGCCTTTTGGTGGCAAATTGGTAGAAATTTATTTGAGGACTTAGTAATTGGTTTATGTTTCCAGCCTAAGGATGCCTAAACTGGTTTCGTTAAAAATTTCAGATAGTTATTATTTTCGTCTGTATTTTAAGGTAAGAACTGTGCTGTCTATAAGCAATAAACGAGAACTTCAAATAGCTTTAAACCAAGTAAACCGAAGTTTTATTAATACAGATTGCTGTCAACCAATGCTAAATTAGTAAGGGACTGAAATATTTAAAAAATGATGTAGCCAGCTATGGCAGGCTCCATGAGGCAATGAATGAATGAGACCTGTGTTAACACTTTCCCAATTTACCTTCCCAAGTCACTGAACGAGAGCATGCAAATACAGGGCAGACCTGACTTCCAATTTTAAGCACTGATACTCAGCCTCAGGTCGGCACTAGCTAGGATATAATTACTACCTGAGGTTCACAATTTGTCTTGGGTACACTAATTGTATAAATTGTATAAAAAATGACATTGTATGAGAATTATATTTCTTTGACCACGTCTATCTTGCTTAGGTTTGTTTTTGTTAGTATTTAACTACTTGTGCCTAATGATTGAATAATCATGCTTTTATCCTCACATGACTTGGGAAAGCGTTTATTTATCTTATTTACACAATCAATGGATGAACTTAACGCTTATCAACAATTCTTTCTGATTAGCATATATGACTCTCAACCAACTGCTGTTTTTTTTTCTTGTGGGGGGGAAAGGAGGGCAGGAAACCTCTTCAAATGCAGAGGAGATCCTGAACTATGGATTTGAATACCTAAAATCAGTTTATCTGATAATACCCCCGGGCAGTCAGAGGTCCCGCAGAAACAGGATACAGGCTTTTGTAATTTTGGTTTTGGTCGGAGGACTCACCCACAATGACGGCCGTGACAGTGAGCAACACAAAAGCATTCCTGAACAGGTAACTTTTCACATCCTCCTTCGTGATGTTCTGCACTTTCTTCTTGGCCAAAAGTGTGCGTTTGCGGACTCCTTGCTGGAATCTCTCCATCCTGCCCCCGGTCCTGGGCTCTTCTCCATTGCTTTTGGTCATGTTTTATCTTTCTAGGAATACCGTGACCTTGTACTGCAGTGTCCTGAAATTGTCCCCAGAAAGTGAAATCTCCTCTTCGGTGTTAGAGGACACAACTAGAACGGAACAGAAGGAGACAAGAGTTACAGCCTGCTAGGCTGAGAAATCAATGTTGGCTCGTGCTGAAATGGGCACTGGGTAAATGGAACTAGAAATTGAAGGCTAGAGCTACACTATCAGGCTAGACTGTGTTTATTTTATTAGACTATAGGTACAAGATGGACATACAATTAGAATAGATGAACAAAAAGTTGTATTCCGATTTCCAGTTTGCTCTTTCCCCTCGATGAGTAAGGGGTTCTTCAGAGTTGGATGTGACCAAGCACCCACATTTCCACTGTGTTCCTCAGAGCCCAGCCAAGCGTGTTGCACAATCCACGCACTCAATAAATGCCCAGTTGAACCGAACACAGAAAATTCCACTTGATAACTCCCGTCTTGTATGTGGGTGAAGACATAACTATGTCAATAGGAAGAATTGAGATGTTTGAGATATTGACGTGTGGTCACTGACATCCATAGTGACTCTTTGGTTTTACTTATTAATTTCACTAAGAAAGAAATATGAACACATTAACTTGTAAATACGGTCATGAAAGGAACACAAGTGCCCAGGGGACAGTAGAAATGCTTTTGAGGCTTTTACAGGGTAACTTTTTCCATGAAATAAGTACACTGCCCTAAACATACATACATACATATATATATATACACATATATATTATCAGAAATCATAATCTATTTTCATATTATTAGAAATAAGAGCATAATGCCGCATCTGTGTTTATGGCAAACCCACAAGTCACACGAGTCTTCCGAGGAGACCATCACTGCTGTCTCCATATTTTGAAATTTAGAATTTCTGCAGCAGATGAGAGAATCCAGTTTTCATTCCAAACATTACAGCGTGCGGTTTCTGGTTTCTTTAAAGTGCTCTTAGGTTATTCAAATACAAACGGCTAAACCATTTTCCTTGCTTCCTCCCGATGCTGTGCAAGATTCTTAATCCCTAGTCTTTGGCGATGATCAGTTTTGCCTGTGGACGTGTGTATCTGGCAAAGCCAGAGCCAGCGTGTGCGCCTGTGGGGGAGGCAGCTGCAACCCAGGCGCTCGCAGGCTTTCGGTAAATCCAAGGGTGCAAAAAAAGGCTTAACAGTTTGACTTTTAAATAAAATTGCAGGTTGAGGTCATTGATAGTATGGCCTGCAATGTGTTTAAGACTTTACACTAGATTAAAAGCTTAGAGAGTGGGGAAGAAATGGAGAGAGGAGAGTCCAGATTTTTTTTTTTTTTAAACTATGAGTTCTGATGTCCTTAACCCGTCAGTTCCCCTTAAAACACACCAGCTCGATCTTGATTTCATTTCTAGATCTCGGACCTACTTTACCCCGAGTCCACTTTGAACGACTGAATTTCAGATCAAGAGCGGACTAGGCTCGGCTAATTAGCACACGCTGGCGGCACTCAGTCCTAACAGGACCTTACCTACCAACATGGCTAGCTTTACTCCGCCGCTCGGCGAACAGAAAAATGGGACCCGAAATTGAGTCCCGCAGAACATAGGAGGCTGCGCTTACCTTTTCCGATTCTGCGACGGGTGGAAGACACCCAGGCAGTGTCAAGGTGAATTTCCCAGCAGGTAGCTCCGAGTAACAGCTGAGCGAGCGAGCGGCGGGGCAGGCTAGCCCTGACAACATGCATGTGCTCGGAAACCGCCACTTACTATCAGGCAACTTAAGAAAAGGGGCGGAGCCTGGGCTGGGGAAAGGGGGAGTGGGGAAATGAAAACAGCAGGGGGAGGAGGGGGAGCCCGAGCTCTCCGGAATATTGATTAATCTTGGCACACCAGAAGCGTGCTCGCTCGCTCGCTTTGTTTTGCTCCTTAGAACTCTTTCACGCTCTGTCAGTTCACTTCTACTAGAAATGCAAAATCAGAACCTGGAAGAATCGAAAACTAAAGCGCACACACACTTGGACAGTGGAAGTCCCGATTAGAACGTTAGGAAGACTTCTCCAGGGCCGTATTTAATTACCTCACTTTATTTCAGGTTTCCTCCCCTTCGGGAGACGTCAGAGGGTGTTCTTTTGCCTGCTCATACAACTGTTGTGTGCTCCCCTGCCACCTTTAGCATTGGGGACATAATTGACGTTTCTTGGAAGGATCCTGAATACAATTAAGTATAGAGAGGAGAATGCTTACGGCCGCCCTCTCAACTTGTATAAAATTACTCAAAACACAAGGTGAGACATGCCCCTGCTTTAGTAGTTTAAAGCTCCTATATGACAAATCTAATTGAGCTCTGGCTGCCTGCTCTGCAGACAGAAAGGTAAGAAACACAGAAGTACCAGGATCACTGCCAAACTATAAAGTAAACGGTGTTTTAGGAGCAAGAATGCAAATGCACTCACGATTTCCAAAGATAAAGTTGCTATTCAGCTGCTTCCTTCTAAAGGATGCTGAATGTCCACTTCCCCATTTTTAGGAGATAGCAATCTTTCCTGGTTTTGAGACTACAGCTGCTGCATTCCTGGCCATTTGTCTCTGTTTCTCTCTCTTCTCCTTCTGCTCCTCCTCCTTCTTTTTTTGTTTGTTTGTTTTTCTGTTTGTTTGTTTTTTGAGTTTCTCTGTATAGCCCTGGCTGTCCTGGAACTTGTTCAGTAGACCAGGCTGGCCTCAAATTTAAGAGCTCCACCTGCCTCTGCCTCCCAGGTACTATAATTAAAAGCATGAGTCACTACACCTCGCTTGGCCACTTTTCTCAAAATGAAAAGTGGACTGCACAAAGAAACAACCTATTAATTAAAAATGAATCGTTGAGAGTGACTTACCCCTCCCCCCCTAAACTTAAAAACTGGTTTTGGTGGAAGAAAAAGGCTCATTAGAAACCTAAACACACACCCCAAATCACCGCCGCGTTCTGTTGACTTGTTTGCTAAGTTCATCAAGCGAAGTCTGCTCAGTTTTTGTGTATGCCATCTAACACCAAAATATGTATTTTTGTTCCTCATTAGCAAATTCAGGGAGCTAGGGAAGAAATGTTCTCTGCTAGCCTTTAGTCGTTCATGTATGTGCTTTGGAACGGCTCCCGGTTGGAAGCCATGGCGAACAGTCTGAGTGCCCGATATGACAAATTAGCAGCGGTTTAAACAACTTCCTAATTTGACACCACTTCAATAATTTAATGAAAAGACAGTCTCTTGTCAGTCTTAGCCCTTGGTGATCTTTCCTCTCCTCTGAACCCTCAGATGCCTTAACATCCCCACCTGTTGCTTAACACTTAATTAGACCTTGCCTTGCTCTGTGTCCTTGGTTTTCAGATCATGTCAAGTCTGGGCTTCTCAACCAAGTGATAAGTTCTTTGAGGGTCAGAACCTGTCTTGTGCCTGATGAACAGGGAACATTAAGCAAGTCTTATGAATGGTTGATATCATCTAAGAGATGATGTCGCTGATTTACCACTTTCTGTGGTAAACCAAAGCTAGTTGTTTTTCTCTTGGTAGCTTGGATGCATAATGTAGGCCAGAAGAACAGAGACTATCATTTTCTCCCGAGTCGTGCGTTTGGAACTACTATTTTATTTTAAACTTTTTTTAAAAAAAAAAAACAACTGTACATGATTTGCATTTTAAGGGAACTTTAAAGAGAAATGGGACAATTTTAGGTGGAGTTTCAAACCCCTAACATTTCTGCTCACACTGCCCACCTCCCAAGGCCAGCTTCTCTTTCTCTCTTTCTTTTCTTTTTTTCTTTTTTCATCCTTTCCAAATCCCTAAAGCTTGGCTAAAACAATTTTATTATTCTGATTTGTGCAAGCAGCATAGGAGTCTGGCATCCATAGAGAAAGGAATTAATTCACCCTTGAAAGTTTTGTTGGTTGTAATAAAAGCTAATGAGAAAATGAGATGCAAAGAGCCTCAACCCAGAGTTCATATGAACTGCAAGGTTTGGATTCAGGCCAAATATTGGAAATTACTTCTTCTGGGCACTACTTTTTTGGAAAACTGTAACAATAATGTCCCTGGCTTTGGTCTGCGTATTTCTCCACTGCACCCTCCGTTTTATAAGCAGGACTGTTGAACTTTAAAATGGTTTCCTCCCTTCATAGACACATCAGATAGATGAAAGATCAAGACATTATGGACAAACGTCTGCCCATTGTATTACATTTAAAGCTACTTAGAGACTGGACACAGAGCCCAGGAAGCATCAGCACCGGAGTTCCAGACTAAGGCAAATAAAACCCCTAGACGAACATACACGGTAGTGAATCCTGTTCCTTTGAGAAAATTGGTCATTTTTTTTCTTGTGAGCATGCGACGGCAGCCTGTGGTTCAGGAGAATTCTTCCTCCCGGGAAACAGGATAATGTGACGGCAGAGCGTCTGTGAGGAAGCACCCTGTTACCTGGCTCGCAGGTGACCGGAAGTGCTGTTCTTGACACCTTCGGGGCTGTGGGAGTCCATCATCTAACTCTGTGAAGTGGTTTGCAGTTTTTGTCTCCCGCCCCCCGAAGGAAGTTAATTAAGAAAACTTAAGCTTTGTTGAGTATCTCCTTCCTCGATCACTTAGTTTCAGGAGGGATTTTTGTCTCCTACGCAGTGTCTGTTCTCACAGTTTGGAAATCAGGACTGTTAAGACAATGAGAAGAACCTGACCGGCCCCCAGAACGTTAACTGTAGATCAACTTGAGCAAGCAGGAGTAGATGCATGGCTGGAGGTAGATTTCCATTTTTGTCACATACATATACACATATCCCAGAAGTCTCTGTGGTGAACTCCAGGCTGTTAGTTTTAACTGACTAAATTCCGTTTTAAAAACCATATGAAGACTGAAAAATGCCACTATTCTAACTGCAGAGGTTAGTTTGTCATGCATACATTTGTGTATTCATTCAGCCAATATGGAGCAAGCACTGTGCTCCAAATGTTGGCTTCTTTCATAACCACACATACATAAACATTATGCAGCAGACCAGAGAGCATTATGGAAATTCCACAGGGAGCCAGTTAGTTTGCTAATAAGACTGAGAATGAGATGAGTGTGGAAGTTATGTGGACTCCTGCAGGGGCAGATAAAGTGTAGCATTGTGGGTAGGATGGGGATTCCTTTTGGAGAAGAGGCAAGGATGGCTCAAAGCATCACATTAAAGACCTTAAACTGAGCCAGGTGCCCTGCCTGTAGTCCTGGTACTAGGGAGACTGAGGCAGGGTGATAGCCCAGAGTTTAGGATCAGACTGTATACTTGGTGAGTTCCAAGTATAGGCCCAGAGGACCCCTATATAAGGGAGGAAATTAAAAAGATGTGCCCCTTAAACAGATAGATACCCTAATAGTGAGAAGTTAGGTCAATCATTTTTATTAAAAATAGTTAAGAGTTGGACAGAATCATGACTTTAAGAAATCTCAATGGATTTACTTCATAGGAAAGCTGAAAGGGGTCTACTTTGTAGTACAGATTCCACTATTGCTATTAATATTACTTATATTGTAAAGTATATTTTCTCCAGTTCTTTAACACAAGCTAAACGTTGATGGTACTAAAAAAGTTACTGGGAAAGAATAAAGCAGCAAATGATAACCGTAGGGCTTTCCAGCTTTGTTAGTAGTTTAGAAAGAAAAATGAGTTTCTTTAATTTTGTTTTATGCATATGTGGGTGCCATGAGGGTCAGAGGTCATCGGATCCCCTTGAATTAGAGTTACAGGCCGCTGTGTGTCACCTAACGTGAGTACTGGGAAACCAACTTCGGTCCTCTGAAGGTACAGTGTAACATGAGGGAGCCGGCTTGTTGGGGTTTCTGTCCCACCCGGTACCCCACAACCAGCATACCCCAAGGAAAATCACACACAAGACTCCATAAGGTTGTAAACTGATTGGCCCATTAGCTCAGGCTTCTTGTTAACTCTTATAGCTTATATTAACCCATTATTCTCATCTATGTTAGCCATATGGCTTGGTACCTTTTTCAGCCGTCAGCTTACATCTTTCCTCTCTGGTGGTCTGGGCAGAACTGTGGTCAGAAAAAGAGAGATATACAGTAAAGAGAGATTCAAAACTGAAGAAAACCTCTAAATGGTTTACTATGTGTTAAAAATATATGCAGACTAAAGGCTAAAGTCCTTCGGGTAAAAAGGGAAGAAAGAAAGTAATTGGGTGTGGTGGTATACACCTTTAATCCCAATGCCTGGGAGGCAGAGGTATGTTGACCTCTGTGACTTCAAGGGGCAGAGGTAGATTGACCTATGTGACTTTAAGGTGTGGTGGCACACACCTTTAAACCCAATACTTGGGAAGCAGAGACAGACAGGTCTCTGAGTTCAAGGTGTGGTTGCATACACCTTTGAGCCCAGCACTGGGGAGGCAGAGACAGAGGAACTCTCTGTGAGTTCAAGGACAGCCTGTCTACAGAGTTATTCCAGGAGAAAGATATACAGAGAACCTGTCTCAAAAAGTAAAAGTAAAAATAAAAGAAGTAGAGGTTAAAATAAAGATGGAAAATACACAGAGAATCTTGATACTGTATGTTATTATGCTCTCTTTGAATTGTTTGAATGCTGAGGAAGGAGCAACAGCTGCTAAAAGACTTTTGTTTATAAATGCTGCTGAACTAACCCAAGATAGGTATTTTGAAAATACCTTGGCTTCAAAACTGAAGTCAAAAGGTATGTTACTTTGGAGAAGAGATTTTGCTTTTGTTTCCACAGAAAATGAGAGGCTATGGATTCA